CCAACGGGCTCTCAGACAAGCTCGGTAGTCCACCTCCGGTGAGGGTGTCCATGAGGATGGGGTAATTGTCCTTTGTGTAGATATAAAATATCAGGGGCACGATTCATTAATTAAATCAGTTTCGAACAATGAGTTATGGTGTATGAGTAACTCTTTCCTTCAATGATAATTTCCACTATTGTATGTTTTCTTTATTGCCAAACATTCAATAATTCAACTTGACTATTGTTCATATTATGATGCAGAAAAGACGATGAGGATAACATGAAGCTTAAAATAGAGTTTCAAAAGGAAAAGTAGGACGGGGATAATGTGGAGTACAGGTACTCATTATAAAGTTATTTAACGACAGTCATATATTCATTTTCTGCGCCAGGTATAGCTGTCGATTCCCTTCAATATGTACATATTTCTTATTGTTTATATTTAAAAAAAATTATTCGGCACCAAATGTATCGGCACAGGCTCAGACCGGTGGTGGCTTGTTTAATTATATGGTATAGATGTATTTCTGTTATGCTCTTGTTTTCCTTTGAAATATGAAAAAAAAAAAAAAAGTAGTAAAAATTCTTGATCTATTATTATTATTTCAGGAGACCTTTAACGTTTACTCCATTACATAAAGGTTCCCCTTACGACCCGGCAACCTTCGGGTTTTTGTTCCTGGCCGTAAGGAGTGCCTTTATTCTGCCTGCTCACGAAGCCTACGAGCGTGGTGACTTCGTCTTCGAGAAGACGCGAAGTCGTGGTATCTTCTTTGTGAGATAGACCAGTCAAGCGGAGTAATCAATGTAAATATTTTCTTTTTTTTTTTTATTTTCTTATAGTTCACTAGATTCTAATCTATGGATTTTGTCTTCTCCTCCCACAGTCTCTCACTACCCTTGCATGTCGACGCATGATGAAAGATAATTTCACGCAATACTTTTAAATTTTAATTTTTTGTCACAAGTGATGATGTGCACGGTTAAAATAGAATCTATGACTACCGTCCAGTATTTCTCGTGTAATCACAATATTTCCTTTACTCTCAGAACTTTTTTTTCTGCTGTTTTTCAGCTGTATAACAGTGTATGGCCACGACATTTTTTATAAATGAAACAATCAAGAACAATGGTACTTTTCCCAGGGAAAGTGGAGCCACCCTGTGCCGTTTGTGCGGCTGGTCAGAAAAAAGTGGAGCGTGGTCACTGTACGTGAAGGATGTTTTTGAAAAACACCTTGACACGAGTTCATTCCTCTATCGTTAAGGATCTCAGCATATCTTTTCCTTTGGAAAAGTCAGTATATCGATTAATCGAAGCAATGTTTACGGCATAAAGGGGGACATGATAATCAAAATATATAATCAGATTATTTCTGATGAATGATGAAACAAAAGGTTTGTTAAAGAAATGAGCTTTGTGGCAAGTTTCATTTGGAAAGCGACATAATTCGCTTAATAAAGTATTTTTTTTGACCGCACAAAAGTGACTGCTATTCTCTTCGTAATTTTCAGCGACCTCCGTCCTGACAACAGGACAACCTACCTTGAAGGTATAAAATCTGCACTTAACTTCAGGGTGGAAAAGACCTCCAAACAATGGAGGATTGCCATGGCATGGAGGGCTTTACAGGGTACCTGCAAGATTTCAGAGACACTAGTCTCAACATTTCGATCGGGGAGGCTGAGAAAGGTGATTACTTTTAATTTCAATTTTCTGCATGCAATAAACCAATTGATCACATGTCACGATATGTGAATTAAACTTTTCTTTTTTTCCTACAGAACTTGAAAAAATGAAAAAGGGGGAAAGCGATGAATTTAAAGGTGCTTTACACAGATCCCTTGTTTGAATCACTGTTTTTGATTGTGGTCAAAGTCACAGACCACAAGATTTAGTTTAATTCATTTTCGCATTGATATTATATTCTCACATTTGATAAATAGTGAATTTTAATGTCCTTTTTTACTCCCAGGAATGACAATGAAGGGCCTCATATTTAAAATAAAAGCCCTAAAACAACAGGCTGTGTTTCGCTTTGCCTCCACCTACAACGCAAAACAACATGATGAGGCCAGGGTAAAAAATCCACCACTACACCCAAAAAAACCTGTAAGCAGTCAATAATTACACATTAATCAGTCCCATTTAAAAATTTAATCAGTTACACTCACGGCAATTTGGTTTTGTCCATTTTCCTTATTAGGGGTTTACAAAACCACTGAATGTGTTAGGTCACCTGCAATTCTTGTTGGAGTCAGAGAGGGGGGATGATCTCTCTTTAAGGAGATTTTCTCCCCTCAATTATTCTTTCAAGCTCAGTGGACCTGTGGAGTGTCCATTTGAAGGCTACGATTTCCAAGCAGACCTTGGAAAAACAATGATAAACCATCAGCAGGAGGTGCGCCACCCTGGCGGGAATCGGCACGATACCACCAGAGAAGGCCAATCTACGCCTTGGCACTGCGGTCTGAGGACATGCCAGAAGGCTTTCCCAACGTGGGACGGGTGCTACAAACACATGCAGTCCCACAACAAGCCTCTGGCATGTCCTGTTTGCGAAAGTTACGGGACAGACCAGATGCCAAGGCTTAGAAAACACCTTAAAGACGTGCATGGCCAAAAAAACACAGGAAGCGGCCACTTCTCGAGGAAGAGTGGAAGTAAATTCCTCGCAAAATAAAGGCAAGTATTCGCACCCTTTATCACTTGAAGCCACGAATTCATCTACACAGAATTTTCGACAACACGTCCCTTCATCATAAAAAAGAAAGCAACGATGTTCTTACAAACCACACAATTTTCACCAAAAATCTTTCATGACGACGATGAGACGAGCTTTGTTCTTGATAATGGCCGTATTGAAGATAGATTTCATTATTTGATCTGTTAGGAGGATTAAAAATGATCTTCACCAATCTAATCTTAATCTTAATCTTAGGTGATGCCTTGTTTCCCTACACTGTTTCTTGTCACAGTGTGGACAGTGTGTACGATTCTGTTTCACACCACGGGTTAGGGTTCTACTCGGGTTTACGACGCAGGATTGAAATGTCTACCGATTGTACCAGTTGTTTTTGCACTTAAAATAGCACTTTTATTCATGTATTTTCTTTTTGTTGATGTTTTTTTAGTAGTTTTTCTTATGTTTTTTTGTTTTGTTTGTTGTTGTTGCTGTTTTTTTCTTTTTTGGCCTATCTAAGAATTAATTATTTAAAGCTATTATGTATGATTTTGGTGACTGCAAGGGCTCGCCCAGCATGGGGCCTGGACTCTTTTGCAAGTCTCCTTTGCAAACAAAATTTATTTGATATCTATATGTTTGTATTTCCATCCTGATTCCCATAAATTTTAATAAAATATTCATCACGCTTGAGTCACGGTATCCGTCGAGCACGTGTACTCATTTTGCCGCTCTGTCACTACTAGGCACTTTTCGAGGAAGAGTTAATTCCTATCCTAGCAAATTAAACGTAGGCGCTTACACCATTTACAAAGCTAAGAATTTATGAACTGAGGCTTTTTGGCTCATGTGATTCAAGAAACAGGAATACCAATCAAATTTTAAGTAATGGGAATAGATTTTCAAGGTTGGACAATACATGTCCCTTCAGTTTAAAAAGGGATTGAATGAGGATCCTCCAAACCATAAATATATAGCTAGAAATATTTCTCATGATGATGTGACAAAATAAGATGTTCGATCATAAGAAAGATCACCGACATTCGGCCTCGATCAAATTTGGTTAAAGCAACAAAGATAAAGTAAGGTCTCAACATGACATATCGCTCAAAGAAAAAAAATAGCAGATGGCTGTAGGGCTCGGTGACACCCGAACCAGTGGTTTGACATCAAACACCGTAAAACACAGCAGGAGATGCAGGCTAGAGAGGCCACCCAAAAGCCCGTCAGACTGTTCAAAGAGTTTCTCAAAAGGCCACTCTTTAAAACTCAATCTTCCTGAATTGAACTCAAATCAATGCTTAATTACCATTACCAATAACCATGAGCATGTTTGCTTTTACGTTTCCTCAGAAACATCTTCACTCATGTTTTTCTAATAAACTACCCTGTCAAATAATCAATTATTGTATGTAATTCATCTATCATTTATTTGTATCAAATCCCATTTTTCTTAAACAATGTAATTTATCAGCTTGCTAAGTTTTTTTAAATTCAAGTTGTTATCAGGTTTTAATAATTACTCTGAGTATTTTTTCAGCCTTTACATTTTAATTTGTTCTTTGTCTTTAGCAGTTTTCCATCCTCGAGGCAAAAAGAGACTGCCCCCAAGATGAGAATGGAAACATATCTTTTTACAAGAACCTCCACAACTGTGATGTAGTTTGGCAAAATCATGACAGTTTGCAGCAGATTGAAACCACCTTGCAGCCCGATTCACCCACCGTTTTTACCAGGCACCCTACGGTCAGTCGCCAAAATGATTACAAAAAAGGGGGAAAGACCATGGTAGCTTGGATTCCAAACTAAGTTATATTTGTACCTTCTAAATTCAAATAAGGTTACCTCAAAACAACTGGAAAAACTGAGACAAGAGAGCTGATAGAAGATAAGTATGACATGAAGAGAGGTAGAACATGGCCAATGAGAGGCTTAGGTGAGGACCAAGTGTTGTCCCAGCAGGAGAATAAAAGCACCGAGCAAAGAACCATAACGCTTTGGGGTAGAGCCATCATAACATGTTTCATCTTGCAAAAGGGGGACTTTGGAACTAGCATTTACCCATACCAGAGCAGTCCACAATGCCTTCAATATGTGTTCAACATGCAAACATTAAAATCATACTAAAATCATCCACATGTCAGAAGGTAAACACCACTCCTTAAAAATTAAAGTGGGAGAATACCATTCTTCCATACCGCCGGCATCAACAAACGAATGTCATCCCCTTCATCCGACAAAGCATCCTTTGACCAAGTAAAGCAAAAGGTAAAGTCTTTATACGGGCCGAAGAGGCCCATGGGGCCGGTGCTTAACTCCGGTTTTCTTAGCGCGAAGCGGCTAGGAATATTGCTACTCCCCCCTGGATGGGATGCTAGTCCATTGCAGGGTTACCCCCAGCATATTTGCTGGTACCCACTTGCACACCTGGTTGAGGAGAAGCACTGTGAGAGTAAAGCGTCTTGCCTAAGAACACAACACAATGACCCCGGCCTGGGCTCGAACCAGGACCACCCTGCATTGCAGGGCTCTGGTTCGAACATATATACATCTTTTGAGTTCACTTACCGCCATTGTTTGGCAAACTAATGTACCAGCAGTTGTTTCATCACAAGGAAATATCCCTTATAACATCGATGTTATGCAGTACGATATATCCACTCCTACTATTTATCTTGTAGCATACTTTCAAATATCCAACGGCATACAGAACGACTCAATAGTCAAGATTACTGCTACCTTCCAGTTGTTGTTCGTACATCATTTCCTGGCGCCCATTTTTCTAAATAAAGTCAGCCTGAGTGGAATTGATCCACAAAAAAATAGCGCTTAACTAAGGTCTCTGTAAATCACGAAGAAGCTGTCCTTACGATATCGAAATGGTAGTTTCGCCAGCCTTGCTCTTTTCTTTTCTGGGCACTAACTGAAGCAACGAAACACAAGAATACATGACAGTGCGTGAAACAGCTCTTATTCGAATTATCGATTGCGCGATATGTGTAAACAAGCTCGGCATTATGGGAAACCCCCTAGATCCCAGACCATATCCGAGCCGCGGGTGCCGTCGTCGTTGGCACGCTCGCTCGCTCGCGCTGTACTTGAGACCTGGCTAAATCAATCAGTTTATTTGTTACTAAAGAGACTACCTTTGTAATCTCTACAGCGCCCTCTACTTCTACATTTACAACAGAGCGAATAAATGCGAGTGCCGCCACTTCAGGTAGTGTGATGAGAATTTTCTTTATTTAATGTGTATATATATATATATATATATATATATTTCATTCGCTATATTGGTCTTTTGGCATCCCATGTGAAATCCTCTCATTCTCCACAGCGCCTTCCACCTCTATACTTACATTCGAAACAGAGGAAATAAGTGCGCCTTGTGCGAGTGCCGCCACTACAGGTAGTGTGATCAGAATTTTCTTCATTTAACACACACACACACACACACACACACACACACACACACACACACACACACACACACACACACACACACACACATATATATATATATATATATATATATATATATATATATACACATATTACATTCGCTTTCTTGGTCTTTTGGCATTCTATGTGAAATCTTATTCTCCACAGCGCCTTCTACCTCTTTACTTACATTCGAAACAGAGACTGACTTTTTCCGATATTGTGTTCAGTTAAAGGATTTTATTCTAGTAAAGAAACTTTCTTTTCCTTCAAAACAGATCTAGTGCCAGTTTCGAGCTTGGTCAAGTCTGGACGGCTTCAGGCCTTTCTGTGCCAAGATAGCCAGACCAGAGAGGAAGAGATGAGAGAGGCAGAAACACAATATATTCGCACAAGGAGCGAAACTGTGGTATGTTAAATTTAACCCCTTTTTCACACATGGATGGTTGTATGTTTCTATATCTACAGAGTAAGCGAAATGAGTTAATAGTGGATCCATAATTAATACCTTTATACATAAAGTTAAAATTAGGTTACTTGGTGCATGACACAGGGGAAGTACGGAATATATCTTTCACTAAGCTCAAGGCTCTTCTTTCATTTCAGTTGGATGCAATGGTGAGGGCCAGAAACGCGTACCAAAACTGGCACGCAGCCGTCCACGGCGATGTGGCCCAACTTCTGCCTCTCAGGCAAGAGAATATAAAGGCGTTCTGCGCAGACCTGGCTAAAGCCGGTTATGCGCCCAACACAATTATCCAGCTATATTTAGCTGGCTTGTGTACTTGGGTAAGTTGTTTTCCTTTCTTAGCCTTTTCAAAAAACGTTATTTTACCCTACTTATATCTCCTTCCATTGACATGTCTACAAAGTACATTAAAAATTACAATAGTATTGCACAGCGAAATCCCTATTGCATCATTTGAAACTCGTTTAAGCATAAACTTATCGTTGCAACACAGATTAATAACAACATTTATTTTCATTTCAGCAAATGGCCAACAATTTGCCATCGCCAAGACGGGAGTTTCCCGCCCTGGCCATGACAGTGAAGGCCTATTTGAGAAGGTTCGTGGGCATTGGTACTCACATGAAGAAGGAGGCCCTGTTCCCGCAGGATGTCGAACACTTGATCGACACCTGCGGGATTGACACGCCCCAGCAGCTACAGCGTGAGCAAAATTTCATTTCCTAGTACTTTTGAGTAAAGATATGATCACTGTGATTGTTTTACAGGCGCATAACAGAAACACTGGGATAGCCCTCGCACTCTTTCATCCTTCATGCTCACTTTGGCCCAATTGCCCTTTGTTCTACAAAGTCTCAGTCTCAGTCTGTCCAAAACCTCATATTTTTTCGATCTTTAAATCTTAGTCGCCTTCATCATTTCGGCCTCGTTCCACTCTGGATGTCGGCAAGGGTCGCTGACCCGAAATAAAAGAAGGCCTTTGGCCAACGAGCTCTTAGAGGAGCTCGGTAGTCCACCTCCGGTGAGGGAGTCGATGAGGATAGGCCAACTTTCCTTTTTGTAAGTATAAAATATCAGGGTCACGATAATTTGATTAAATCAGTTTCGGACAATGAGTTAGTTCCCTTCTTCGATAATGTACTCTCTTTATTTCCTGACATTCAATAATTCAACTTGACTATTGTTCTTACGTTCATGCAGAAAAGACGACGATGACAACATGAAACTCACCATTGAGTTTCAAAAGGAGAAATAGGACGGTGGAAATGTTGAGTACAGGTACTCATTACAAAATTATTTAACGACAGTCATATATTCATTTTCTGCGCCAGGTATGGCTGTCGATTCCCTTCAATATGTACATATTTCTTATTTCTTATATTTTAAAAAATTTATTCGGCACCAAATGTATCGGCACAGGCTCAGACTGGTGGTGGCTTGTTTAATTATATGGTATAGATGTATTTCTGTTATGCTCTTGTTTTCCTTTGAAATATAAAAAATAAGTATTAAAAACTCTTGACCTATTTATGTTTCAGGAGACCTTTTACGTTTACCCCGTTGCATAAAGGTTCCCCTTACGACCTGGCAACCTTGGGGTTTTTGTTCCTGGCCGTAAGGGGTGCCTTTATTCTGCCTGCTAAAGAAGCATACGAGCGTGGTGACTTCCGTCTTCGAGAAGACGCGAAGTCATGGTATCTCCTTTGTGAGATAGACCAGTCTAGTGGAGCAATCAATGTAAATATTTTAATTTTTTTTTAATTTTCTTATAGTTCACTAGATTCTAGTCAAGGGATTTTCTGTCTTCTCCGCCCACAGTCTCTCACTACCCATGCATGTCGACGCATGATGAAAAATAATTTCACGCAATACTTTTAAATTTAAATGTCACAAGTGATGATGTTTATGGTTAAAATAGAATCTGTGACTACCGTCCAGTATATCTCGTGTAATCCAATATTTCCTTTACTCTCAGAACACCAAGCCACTACAAGGCCTTACAGCCACGTTTAATACCCTTGTGGCTAAGGCAGGATTTGATGTGCGGAAATTAACGCATCACTGTAATAGATCGGTTAGTTTAAAAAAAGAAATTTCTTCTTTCTTCATTCATATAATATTACTTTACCTTTAAACAAATGTTGTCCATTTGATAATGATCTTATAGTTACTGTTTTTCATCTTTATAACAGGGTATGGCCACGACATTTATAATAAATGAAACTATTAAGAATAATGGTACTTTTCCGAGGGAAAGTGTGGCCACCCTGTGCCGTCTGGGCGGCTGGTCCGAAAAAAGTGGAACGTGGTCACTATACGTGAAGGATGTTTTTGAAAAACACCTTGACACGAGTTCCTTTCTCTATCGGTAAGGATCTCAGCATATCTTTTCCTTTGGAAAAGTCAGTATATCGATTAATCGAAGCAATGTTTACGGCATGAAGGGGGAAATGATAATCAAAATATATAAAAGATAATTTCTGATGAATGATGAAATAAAAGGTTTGTTAAAGAAATGAGCTTTGTGGCAAGTTTCGTTTGGAAAGCGACATAATTCGGTTGTTATCTATGAGAATTGAAACAAAATATCTTTTTTGGCCGCACAAAAGTGAATGCTATTCTCTTCGTTATTTTCAGCGACCTACGTTCAGACAACAGGGCAACCTACCTGGAAGATATAAAATCCGCCTTCAATTACCGAGTAGATAAAAACCTCCAAACAATGGAGGATTGCCACGCCGTAGAGGGTTTTGCAGGGTACCTGCACGAATTCAGAGACACTGGTCACAACATTTCGATCGGGGAGGCAGAGAAAGGTGATTACTTTTAATTTTCTGCATGTAATAAACCAATTCATCACATGTGACGATATGTGAATTTAACTTTTCTTTTTTTCCTACAGAACTTGAAAAAATGAAAAAAGGAGAAAGTGCTGAATTTAAAGGTGCTTTACACAGATCCCTTGTTTGAATCATTGTTTTCGATTGTGGTCAAAGTCACAGACCCCAAGATTTAGTTTAATTCATTTTTGCATTGATATTATATTCTCACATTTGATAAATAGTGAATTTCAATTTCCTTTTGTGCTCCCAGGAATGACAATGAAGGGCCTCACATTTAAAATAAAAGCCCTAAAACAACAGGCTGTGTTTCGCTTTGCCTCCGCCTACAACGCGAAACAACACGATGAGGCCAAGGCGAAAAATCCACCACCGCACCCAAACAAACCTGTAAGTAGTCAAACATATTTGAAATGTTCTCTTGCTTGCATTGACATCTTTTTCGTAATTTCACATTGATCAGTCCCGCTTAAAAATTTTATTAGTTACACTCGTGGCTTTTTTTTTTGTCCATTTTCCTTCTTAGGGGTTTACAAAACCACTGAATATGTTGGGCCACTTGAAATTCTTGTTGGAGTCAGAGAGGGGGGAAGATCTTTCCCTAAGGAGATTTTCTCCCCTCGATTACTCTATGAAGCTAACTGGACCTGTAGAGTGCCCGTTTGAAGGTTGTGGGTTCCAAACAGATCTCGGCAAGACAATGATCAGTCACCAGCAGCAGGTGCGCCACCCTGGTTGGAATCGGCACGATACCACCAGGGAAGGCCAATCTAAGCCTTGGCATTGCGGTCTGAGGACATGCCAGAAGGCTTTCCCAACGTGGGACGGGTGCTACAAGCATATGCAGTCCCACAGCAAGCCTCTGGCATGTCCTGTTTGCGAAAGTTTCAGGACAGACAGAATGCCAAGGCTTAAGAAACATCTCAAAGAAGTGCTTGGCCAACAAAACGTAGGAAGCGGCCACTTCTCGAGGAAGAGTGGAAGTAAATTCCTCGCAAAGTGAAGGCAAGTATTCGCACCCTTTATCACTTGAAGCCACGAATTCATCTACACAGAATTTTCGACAACACGTCCCTTCATCATAAAAAGGAAAGCAACGATGTTCCTACAAACCACACAATTTTCACGAGAAATCTTTCACGACGACGATGAGACGAACTTTGTTCTTGATGATGGCCATATTGAAGATAGATTTCATTATTTGATCTGTTGGGAGGATTAAAGATGATTTTCACTAATCTAATCTTATTCCCTTTTAGGTCATGCACTTTTTCCCTACACCGATTCTTTTTTCTTGCGGAGTTTTTATATCCCCGCTCGCTGGTTCAACTAAATCAAGAGGACTGTATCTTTCGATGTTACAACAGGATTTAATCCAAACCAACAATGTATTGCGATATACAATTATAAAATATTCAACGGCCGTAACACAACGATCAGTGATCAACGATCAACTGACACATTCTAAGTATTTTTCTGCTACCCTGCGTAAGGTAGTATTTTACAAGAATCACATGTACAGAAAAACTTCCTATTGTGATGCATCTAAATTAGGTGACTATTACAAAATCGCACGTTCTTTCACCTTATTTAGCCTAAGAAAACACAGGCAGTTGCATCATTATATATCGTAAATATATTGAACCAGTTGTTTGTTAACTACTTTAAGGTTACGATATCGCTTCAGCAAGCTTAATGTGTAGTCGACATAAAATAAAGACACACCTTCCATTGCTGTATTGTGGATCGACTTTAAAAGCTTTAAACAGAGTGTACTTGCCCTCAAGATGGTGTATGGATTATGACCTCCACATGTTCATGCTAATGTTGATTGGAATCATGCCCTGGCTGTAAATTTGAAAAAATGATTGAAATCTTCAAAGACTCCATTTAAATAGTGCACGCTGGCCATCTTTTCCGTCGTTTCAGAACGCGAGCCAGTTGCTTTTAGGGCTGGAAAGAAATCATCTTTTGTGTGTGTCACTGCTGGTCATCTTTGGTTTAATATCTCTATTTGCAGCTTTTCCTCCAATTTTTTTTTCAATAGAAGCTGTGAGTTCGGTTAATAAAAAAATAAATAAAAAATAAATAAATAAATAAAAAAATGGATGGTTCCGCCCGGACTTGAACCGAGGACCTTCTGCATTGCAGGGCTTTGGTTCGAACTAGTTGTTGAACCGCCGTGATTGGGAGGTATTAGTTTCGAGCACTGTATCGAAATTATGATAGAAATATTCCCAAACATGTCAGTCTCAACAACTTTGGTAGTTCATTAAAAAGATGCAAATTGAGTTATGCATCGATTTTTTATTTATTTATAGGACTAGTTGGTATATTACAGCGTACTTAGCGGATAATCATAATGAAATCAACGCAATATACGCATGAAATATGTATCTAAATATACACATCTTTAAGTTCAATTACCGCCATTGTTTCGCAAACTAATGTACCAGCAGTTGTTTCATCACAAAGAAATATCCCTTATAACAGCGATGTTATGCAGTACGATATGTCCACTCCTACTATTTATCTTGTAGCATACTTTCAAATATCCAACGGCATACAGAACGATTCAATAGTCAAGATTACAGCTACCTTCCAGTTGCTGTTCGTACATCGTTTCCTGGCGCCCTTTTTCTAAATAAAGTCAGCCTGAGTGGAATTGATCCAGAAAAAATAGCGCTTAACTAAGTTCTCTGTAAATCATGAAGAAGCCGTCCTCACCATATCGAAATGGTAGTTTCGCCAGCCTTGCTCTTTTCCTTTCTGGGTACTAACTGAAGCAACGAAACACAAGAATACATGAAAGCGTGTAAAACAGCTCTCATTCGATTATCGATTGCGTGATATGTGTAAACAAGCTCGGCATTATGGGAAACCCCGTAGATCCCAGACCATATCCGAGCCGCGGGTGCCGTCGTCGTTGGCGGGAAAACGCCCAGATTTTCCCGCTTTTTTCGGGTGCCATGTGTAAACAAGGTCGGAATTAAAGGGAAGGCCATAGATCTCAGGCCATATCCGAGTCCGTGGTAGCCGTCATTATTGGCGGGAAAACGCCCAGGTTTTCTCGCTGTTTTCGCGCGTGTTCCCATGACAAACGCGTCAAAAAAAAAATTTTTTTATCACTTACTGGAAACATCCCAGACACGCTGGCTACATTGTGCGGTTGTGCCTTGTTTCTGTGTTAGATTTACAATGGCAAGCATTGTTTTCGGTAAAATTAAGAGTTGGCTTGAGAGTCGCTTCACCTCATTGTTGACTGAGGATGAAATTTGTAGTTTACAGCAAAATTTATTTACTTTTGAGTTCGACTCTGAAATGTTGGAGATGGCGGACGACGACGATTTTCGTCAAGTTATCCCGCAGGAATTTACCCTTAAAAAAAAAATGTTGCTCTTAAAGGCTTTTAGGAACATCAGAGGTAGGTACCGTTAACGTCATTTTCTTCTTTCGGTGACATGGTCAAAGGGTTTTTCGATTTTCATAAATTTAGTATGTTTGCCGTATGACGTTTCTTTTATGCCGAAATTCACAATTTCTAAACATTATTCCTTATTTGCCACCCACAGCTTCGTCGACTTCTGTGAGTCATTCGGTTTACTTTTCGGTAACCGTAGGTGAGTTTTTTACCCCATTCTAAAATAAGGTTTCCTTTTCCCAATTTTTTTTTTGGAAAGCGTCCTTCTTCAACGTCAGTAAATTGATATTTATCAATGCAAGGTTTTCATTCCTTCTTCTTTTCGCAGTACCTTTCACCGGTGGAAGTTCTACCTTGCAGTCAGGTTAGTGTGTTCCGTCACTCTTCCTTCTAGTTTTATCCAAAAGTTGTTTAGTTGTGCGAATTTTATCATCGTTTGTTTCACAAATGGTTAAATTTCTTACGGACTAAAGACAATTCTCTGCCGGCTCAAAACGAGTCCTTCTCAGAAGTTACCTTTATCGATAATTTTCACTTCCACTTTAACTTTTATAATTAGCGGGCCAATACCTATTTGCTCTCCTCTTTGTATGCCGCAGTTCAGTCTGTATATCATCTTACATCGCCGGAAGGCCAAGACGCCCCCGTGTTTCCAGTTATAACCACAGGCGATCTTCCAACCTGTCCTTTTTTTTTATCACGAGTTTCATTACATTTTCCAAATCATGTTTTCTCCGCTTCTGCTATTGATAATCTTGTATCTATCCATTTTGCCTTGAAGATTCGTCGGCCTCTCTCACTGCCTCGGCCGGTTTCATCGCGGGTGAGTCACTTGTCTGTCTTTTTTATTGTTCGTGATTTTGTTATTGCGCTGTACTTGAGACATGGCTAAATCAATCAGTTTATTTGTTACTAACGAGACTACCTTCGTAATCTCTACAGTGCCCTCTACTTCTACGTTTACAACAGAGAAAATAAGTGCGAGTGCCGCCACTTCAGGTAGTGTGATGAGAATTTTCTTTATTTAATGTATATATATATATATATATATATATATATATATATATATATATATATATATATGTATATATATATATATGTATATATATGTATATATATGTATATATATATGTATATATACATACATACATATACATAGACATATTCATATTCATATTCATATTCATATTCATATATATTACATTCGCTTTCTTGGTCTTTTGGCATTCCATGTGGAATCTTCCTCGGTGGTTAAAGGATTTTATTTTTAGTAAAGAAACTTTCTCTACCTTCAAAACAGATCTAGTGCCAGATTCGAGCTTGGCCAAGTCTGGACGGCTTCAGGTCTTTCTGTGCCAAGATAGCCAGACCAGAGAGGAAGAGATGAGAGAGGCAGAAACACAGTATATTCGCACAAGGAGCGAAACTGTGATATGTTAAGTTTAAACCCTTTTTCACACATGGATGGTTGTATGTTTCTATATCTACAGAGTAAGCGAAATGAGTTAATAGTGGATCCATAATTAATACCTCTTACATAAAGTTAAAATTAGGTTACTTGGTGCATGACACAGGGGAAGTACGGAATATATCTTTCACTAAGCTCAAGGCTCTTCTTTCATTTCAGTTGGATGCAATGGTGAGGGCCAGAAACGCGTACCAAAACTGGCACGCAGCCGTCCACGGCGATGTGGCCCAACTTCTGCCTCTCAGGCAAGAGAATATAAAGGCGTTCTGCGCAGACCTGGCTAAAGCCGGTTATGCGCCCAACACAATCATCCAGCTATATTTAGCTGGCTTGTGTACTTGGGTAAGTTGTTTTCTTTTCTTAGCCTTTTCAAAAAACGTTATTTTACCCTACTTGTATCTCCTTCCATTTACATGTCTACAAAGTATATTCAAAATTACAATAGTATTGTACAGTGAAATACATATTGCATAATTTGAAACTCGTTTAAGCATAAACTTATCGTTGCAACACAGATTAATAACAACATTTATTTTCATTTCAGCAAATGGCCAACAATTTGCGATCGCCATGACGAGGCCCTGTTCCCGCAGGATGTCGAACACTTGATCGACACCTGCGAGATTGACACGCCCCAACGGCTACAGCGTGAGCAAAATTTCATTTCCTAGTATTTTTGAGTAAAGATATGATCACTGTGATTGTTTGGCAGGCGCATAACCGAAACATTGGAAAAGCCCTCGCACTCTTTCATCCTTCATGCTCACTTTGGCCCAATTTCCCTTTGTTCTACGCAGTCTCAGTCTCAGTCTGTCCAAAACCTCATATTTTTTCGATCTTTAAATCTTAGTCGCCTTCATCATTTCGGCCTCGTTCCACTCTGGTTATCGGCAAGGGTCGCTGACCCGAAATAAAAGAAGGTCTTTGGCCAACGAGCTCTTAGAGGAGCTTGGTGGTCCATCCTCCGGTGAGGGAGTCTATGAGGATAGGCCAACTTTCCTTTGTGTAAGTATAAAATATCAGAGCCACGATAATTTAATTAAATCAGTTTCGGACAATGAGTTAGTTCCCTTCTTCGATAGTGTATTGTCTTTATTGCCTAACATTCAATAATTCAACTTGACTATTGTTCATATTATGATGCAGAAAAGACGACGAGGATAACATGAAACTCACCATTGAGTTTCAAAAGGAGAAGCAGGACGGGGGAAATGTTGAGTACAGGTACTCATTATAAAGTTATTTAACGACAGTCATATATTCATTTTCTGCGCCAGGTATAGCTGTCGATTCCCTTCAATATGTACATATTTCTTATTGTTTATATTTAAAAAAATTTATTCGGCATCAAATGTATCGGCACAGGCTCAGACCGGTGGTGGCTTGTTTAATTATATGGTATAGATGTATTTCTGTTATGCTCTTGTTTTCTTTTGAAATATGAAAAAAAAAAGTATTAAAAATTCTTGACCTATTTATGTTTCAGGAGACCTTTTACGTTTACTCCGTTACATAAAGGTTCCCCTTATGACCCGGCAACCTTCGGGTTTTTGTTCCTGGCCGTAAGGAGTGCCTTTATTCTGCCTGCTCACGAAGCCTACGAGCGTGGTGACTTCCGTCTTCGAGAAGACGCGAAGTCGTGGTATCTTCTTTGTGAGATAGACCAGTCAAGCGGAGTAATCAATGTAAATATATTCTTTTTTTTTTTTATTTTCTTATAGTTCACTAGATTCTAATCAATAGATTTTCTGTCTTCTCCTCCCACAGTCTCTCACTACCCATGCATGTCGACGCATGATGAAAGATAATTTCACGCAATACTTTTAAATTTTAATGTCACAAGTGTTGATGTGTATGGTTAAAATAGAATCTATGACTACCGTCCAGTATTTCTCGTGTAATCACAATATTTCCTTTACTCTCAGAACACCAAGCCATTACAAGGCCTTACGGCCGCGTTTAACCCTTGTGGCAAAGGCGGGATTTTATGTGCGGAAATTAACGCATCACTGCAATGGATCGGTTAGTTTTAAAAAAAAAATTTATTCTTTCTTCTTTCTTCTTTCTTCATTCATATCGTATTACTTTACTTTGAAACAAACGTTGTCCATTTGATAATGATCTTATCGTCACTGTTTTTCAGCTTTATAACAGGGTATGGCCACGACATTTATTATAAATGAAACTTTAAAAAACAATGGTACTTTTCCCAGGGAGAGTGTGGCCACCCTATGCCGTCTGGGCGGCTGGTCAGAAAAAAGTGGAACATGGTCGTTGTATGTTAAGGATGTTTTTGAAAAACATCTGGACACAAGTTCATCCCTCTATCGGTAAGGATCTCAGCATATCTTTTCCTTTGGAAAAGTCAGTATATCAATTAATCGAAGCAATGTTTACGGCATAAAGGGGGAAATGATAATCAACATATATAAAAGATAATTTCTGATGAACGATGAAACAAAAAGTTTGTTAGAGAAATGAGCTTTGTGGCAAGTTTCGTGTGGAAAGCCACATAATTCGGTGGTTATCTATGAGAATTAAAATAAAGTATTTTTTTGGACCGCACAAAAGTGACTGTTATTCTCTTCGTAATTTTCAGCGACCTCTGTCCAGACAACAGGACAACCTACCTGGAGGGCATAAAATCAGCATACAATTACAGGGTAGAAAAAAACCTCCAAACAATGGAGAATTGCCATGCCATAGAGGGCTTTGCAGGGTACCTGCAAGATTTCAGAGACACTAGTCTCAACATTTCGATCGGGGAGACTGAGAAAGGTGATTACTTTTAATTTCAATTTTCTGCATGCAATAAACCAATTGATCACATGTCACGATATGTGAATTTAACTTTTCTTTTTTTCCTACAGAACTTGAAAAAATGAAAAAAGGGGAAAGCGATGAATTTAAAGGTGCTTTACACAGATTCCTTGTTTAGTCGTTGTTTTTGATTGTGTTCAAAGTCACAGACCACAAGATTTAGTTTAATTCATTTTTGCATTCATATTATATTCTTACATTTGGTACATAATGAATTTCAATGTCCTTATGTACTCTCAGGAATGACAATGAAGGCCCTCATATTTAAAATAAAAGCCCTAAAACAACAGGCTGTGTTTCGCTTTGCCTCCGCCTACAACGCTCAACAACATGATGAGGCCAGGGCGAAAAATCCACCACCGCACCCAAACAAACCTGTAAGTAGTCAAACATATTTGAAATGTTCTCTTGCTTGCACTGATATCTTTTTCATAATTTCACATTTATCAGTTCCGCATAAAAATTTGATTAGTTACACTCGTGGCTTTTTTTTTTGGTCCATTTTCCTTCTTAGGGGTTTACAAAACCACTGAATGTCTTGAATCATCCTAAAGTCATGCTGGAGTCAGAGAGGGGGGAAGATCTTTCCCTAAGGAGATTTTCTCCCCTCGATTACTCTCTGAAGCTCAGTGGACCTGTGGAGTGTCCATTTGAAGGCTACGATTTCCAAGCAGACCTTGGAAAAACAATGATAAACCATCAGCAGGAGGTGCGCCACCCTGGCGGGAATCGGCACGATACCACCAGAGAAGGCCAGTCTATGCCTTGGCATTGCGGTCTGAGGACATGCCAGAAGGCTTTCCCAACGTGGGTCGGGTGCTACAAACACATGCAGTCCCACAACAAGCCTCTGGCATGTCCTGTTTGCGAAAGTTACGGGACAGACCAGATGCCAAGGCTTAGAAAACACCTTAAAGACGTGCATGGTAAAAAAAACACAGGAAGCGGCCACTTCTCGAGGAAGAGTGGAAGTAAATTCCTCGCAAAATAAAGGCAAGTATTCGCACCCTTTATCACTTGAAGCCACGAATTCATCTACACAGAATTTTCGACAACACGTCCCTTCATCATAAAAAGGAAAGCAACGATGTTCCTACAAACCACACAATTTTCACCAAAAATCTTTCATGACGACGATGAGACGAGCTTTGCTCTTGATAATGGCCATATTGAAGAAAGATTTAATTTTTTGATCTGTTAGGAGGATTAAAAATGATCTTCACCAATCTAATCTTAATCCCTTTTAGGTCACGCCTTGTTTCCCTACACTGTTTCTTGTCACAGTGTGGACAGTGTGTACGATTCTGTTTCACACCACGGGTTAGGGTTCTACTCGGGTTTACGACGCACCAGGATTGAAATGTCTACCGATTGTACCAGTTGTTTTTGCACTTAAAATAGCACTTTTATTCATTTATTTTCTTTTTGTTGATGTTTTTTTAGTAGTTTTTCTTATGTTTTTTTTGTTTTGTTTGTTGTTGTTGCTATTTTTTTTCCTTTTTTTACCTATCTAAGAATTAACTATTTAAAGCTATTATGTATGATTTTGGTGACTGCAAGGGCTCGCCCAGCATGGGATCCTGGACTCTTTTGCAAGTCTCCTTTGCAAACAAAATTTATTTGATATCTATATGTTTGTATTTCCATCCTGATTCCCATAAATTTTAATAAAATATTCATCACGCTTGAGTCACGGTATCCGTCGAGCACGTGTACTCATTTTGCCGCTCTGTCACTACTGGGCACTTTTCGAGGAAGAGTTAATTCTTATCCAAAAAAATTAAACGTAGGCGCGTACACCATTTACAAAACTAAGAATTTATGTACTGAGGCATTTTGGCTCATGTGATTCAAGAAACAGGAATACCAACCAAATTTTAAGTGATGGGAATAGATTTTCAAGGTTGGACAATACATGTCCCTTCAGTTTAAAAAGGGATTGAAAGAGGATCCTCCAAACCATAAATATATAGCTAGAAATATTTCTCATGGTGATGGGACAAAATTAGATGTTCGATCATGAGAAAGATCACCGACATTCGGCCTCGATCAAATTTGGTTAAAGCAACAAAGATAAAGTAAGGTCTCAACATGACATATCGCTCAAAGAAAAAAAATAGCACCCGAACCAGTGGTTTGACATCAAACACCGTAAAACATAGCAAGAGATGCAGGCTACAGAAGGCCACCCAAAAGAGTTCAAAGAGTTTCTCAAAAGGCCACTCTTTAAAACTCAATCTTCCTGAATTGAACTCAAATCAATGCTTAATTACCATTACCAATAACCATGTGCATGTTTGCTTTTACGTTTACTCAGAAACATCTTCACTCATGTTTTTCTAATAAACTACCCTATCACATAATCAATTATTGTATTGTATGTAATTCATCTATCATTTATTTGTATCAAATCCCATTTTTCTTAAGTAATGTATTTTATCAGCTTGCTAAGTCTTTTTTTAATTCAAGTTGTTATCAGTTTTTAATCATTACTCTGAATATTTTTTCAGCCGTTACATTTTAATTTGTTCTTTATCTTTAGTATTTTTCCATCCTCGAGGCAAAATGAGAATGCCCCCAAGATGAGAATGGAAATATATCTTTTTACAAGAACCTCCACAACTGTGATGTAGTTTGGCAAAATCATGACAGTTTGCAGCAGATTTAAAACACCTTGCAGCCCAATTTACCCACAGTTTTACCAGGCACCCTACGGCCAGTAGCCAAAATTATCACAAAAAAGGGGGAAAGACCATGGTAGCTTGGATTCCAAACTAAGTTTATATATTTGCACCTTCTAAATTCAAATAAGGCTACCTCAAAACAACTAGGAAAACTGAGACAAGAGAGCTGATAGAAGATAAGTATGACATGAAGAGAGGTAGAACATGGCCAATGAGAGGCTTAGGTGAGGACCAAGTGTTGTCCCAGCAGGAGAATAAAAGCACCCAGCAAAGAACCATAACGCTTTGGCAGAGCCATCATAACATGTTTCATCTTGCAAAAAGGGGACTTTGAAACTAGCATTTACCCATACCAGAGCAGTCCACAATGCCTTCAATATGTGTTAAACATGCAAACATTAAAATCATACTAAAATCATCCACATGTCAGAAGGTAAACACCACTCCTTAAAAATGAAAGTGGGATAATACCATTCTTCAACAGTTTTGCACATTTACCAAATATGAAGCAGTACTCAAGTGCTTTGATGAATAAGTGTATTTGCTTTACAAGAACTGTTTTGACTTTATGACCAACTTTGCAATCAAACATTCTAAAGAGTAGTGGTTTATTACTGGATTTATATTTTGGGCATTTGCATTTTAGCACTTAAAGTACTTGTTAAGCATGTATATGCAGATATATAGTCCGATCGACGAGTTGAAGGAATTTGAAGACGACATGCTACATGCTATGCTGATACCATCGACAAAATTCAACCAGTAAACAACCGTTTTCTCGACAAACTCAAAGACAACACCAAACGCATAAAAAACGAAACCAAGCTACACATCGCCGCTGACAAAACAAAGAACTTTTACAAACTAGAACCGTCAACATACAACGATCTACGAGAACGCAATATCACAAAGTCCCACAAAAAAGCACAAATTAATACCACATGAGCCATCCATTCAGAAAACAAAAACATCGCAACGAAACTGGGCATCGATGACAGGGTGGACACCACAGCCAACAAAGACGCATTCAAAATATATTAAAGTTCACATGGCAACCAGGTGGACAATCAGACATGGTTTGATGCTACTCTGGTTTAAAGAGTTAATGAATGTCACCAAGAAGGAACAATTCATAGATCCAACGTTTCGACACTCCTCTTTAACCCAGAGTAGCATCAAACCATGTCTGAAAGACGCATTCATAACACTGAAAAACCACAAACCAAATTTCGCTAACAAACCGACCTGCTGACTAATCAACTCCACCAAATCTGAGATAGGCAGAATCAGCAAAACAATCCTCGAAAGAATCAACAACAAAATCACGAGAGCATCCAAATTCAACTAATAGAAAACCACGACATCCTTGATCGAGTGGTTTAAAGCCATTAAAAACAAACACCACCAGTTTTATTTGCTTTGACATCGACTTGTAATAACATGGCGGGCGGGCACGTTTTCTGTGTTCCGCGAAATCTATGTGTATTCTTATTCACCTATTTGTCCCTCACCACCCTACTGAACGTAGACTGTTCCTGGAGTATCTTCTCTACACCTGGAAAGATTTTGTATATTTCCCAACAGCTTTCCATGCCTACAATACCGAGTGAAGGAGCATCCAAACTGAAATCTGCTGGATCGTCTCGTTCAAGACACAACCTCGTGAAAGTTGATCTCGGCCTTACTCTGATGCTCAACTCTACCTACACAATGATGATGATTTGTTTGTCCAATGACGTATCTTTGAATCCTGGACCAACAGTTACGCAGTCTAGAAATCCACCTACAATCCGAGGCTTTAAAATTTCCCATCTCAACGTCCGCAGCATTACGCACAAGATGGATTCCATTCGCCATCTCCTCAAAGACAATACTTTGGATGTCTTCACAGTTTCCGAAACTTGGCTGAGTCCTAAAGTAACTGACGCTGAAATAACCATCCCTGGATATTCAGTTGTAAGGAAAGACCGAAACTCTCGCGGTGGGGGAGTGGCAATGTTCATACGGGATGGAATTCCTTTCAAGACGCGAATGGACATAACTGACAATAACACAAATTTCGTGAATAATAGTCATCGCGTTGTTGGCAGTGGTGTAGTCCCTCTCGCAATTAGCGACCATTCACTGATTTACAGAATATTCAAATCTGGAGTTCCCAAGGCACCTCCACGTATTGTTGAGCATCGCACATATAAGAAATACAACAAGTCTGCTTTCATCAAGGACATCAACGAACTAAACTGGAGTATTATTGATGATGTGGATGTCGAGTCAGGTGTCAACCTGTGGAATACTTTATTTTCTAAGTTTGCCAATTCGCACGCCCCCATTAAAAAGACTAGAATTAAAGGCATACCAGCGCCGTGGATGACATCCGAATTAAGCCAACTTATGCATGACCGCGACTACCATCACACCAAAGCTGTCAAATCTAACTTGAAGTACCACTGGGCAAGGTATAGAAAACTCAAGCAAGTGGTTAAAAAGCGAGTTAAGGAATGCAAAGCCTCTTATTACAAAGATCTCATCGAGAAAAACAGCGGAAATCCAGGCGAATTGTGGAGAACATTGAATGAAATAACGAGTCTTAAAAACGTCTCTCCACCATCTTTCATTCAGTCTAATGGATGCCAAGTAACTAATCCAAAGTTGATTGCTTGTCTATTAAACGATCACTTTGTCACCGTTGG